AAATCACCGAAGATATATACAGTACCAGTTGATTTGTATTTGGACACAGTGTCTTCAAGACACTGAAATAAATCAAAATCATTTCTATCGTAGAAAACGCTATTTACTGGGGGAAGGTAACAAAACGCAAAATATATATTATCAATTTGCGAATCATTTGTATCTAATTTCAACCATATAATGCTATCATGTACATTTTCTACACAAGATAGTTTACCAGATAGTTCTGATTTGTAAAATATAACAATACCACCGCCTTTGCAATAGGATCTTGGATAAACTATTTTTTCATAGCCTGCTATATCAAAAACGTCATCATTCTTAACTGCACATTCACATAGACAAATTACATCATATTTGACGAGGTACGTTACAAAATCATCGTTACGTAGTTTGTCCAGAAGTCCACGACCGATATTCCATGATATAATGGACAATTCACTCTCCTGTCCGTCTTATGTGGAATATGACCACTGTCCGTTTGACTGGTGATCCATAGGTTCTAATGTTCCACTGTTTCCGCGCCATCCGGGATGAGGTATGGGCTCACGCTGATACCCCTCATGACGATCGCTGGGATTGCCTCGCGACTGGCCTTGAGGAGGCCCACGGTGATGACGTGAGGAGTTGTTACTTAAAGGAGTCCGTGTGCTAAAATAAATTTCTTCATTTTCCTTGTTTAGAATCAGAGGTGCTAGTTTCAAATACTTTTCAGTCTTAAATCTGCATGCTAGATATTGAATAAGGTGGTTTTATTGTTTTTTGTCACTTTGAATAATATTTCTGTTCATGTTAAAAACAAAAATCAACTCTCTGTATAAATATGTCAGGTGACCGTTAAGGCCCATGGGCCTCTTGTTTTTCGTTAAATCCATATATGATATCATGATCACCCAGTGTGATGTCGATCACCCAGTGTGATGTCGGAATTTGGACAATTACCATGACGTCATGGGATTGTGGCGTCACATAGAAGATACTAGACTTGACGTCAAGAGTGCAACCTGATTAATAGAGAATCTCTCACCTCCTTGGGGCGAGATAGGGGAATCTCGAGGGGGGAAGATTCTTAAGTTGCCAAACACGAGGCTGTGCCCTCGTTACCCTGTTCATCCATTGTGTATCATATACAAAATGTAATGTTAACGTCACAAGCTAAATTGAGGGTTGACGTGACGTTGATTGATTGTTGTGACGTCATACCATTGCTATGAATAGGGGAATCCCCCGTCTGAAAACCCTCGGGTGAGACAAGGAAATATCACACCGGTAAAAGTGCGGATACACCTGTCCAGGGTCAGAGAAAATGATATTAGCATTATTCTACAGAAATATGATAAATAGTCTATTTAATGGTTTCCAATTCATATGAGATTTATAACACAGTTGATGACACTTTTCTTAGAAGTCTGCATGATAGCAACAACTCAAGTTTGGATATTTCTCACAAGTTAGTTACTCTTACAGACGAACTATAATGATATGTAACGATATTTTTTTTACCGAATTCTTTGCATTAAATATGCTCTTTTTGAAAAGACCATGTTATCATCACGTTCTTGTTAACAGTCAATTTAAAACGATCTCATACTCTATCATAGAAGGATTACAACACATGTCATTGAAGATACATGTTTGGGGAACTGTTACAACAGAAATCCCTATCAAACACCTTGTTGACTGGTACCGGTACGGTAGTACCGTAGTTCCTCTGATCATCATCCTACCAAATGAATAATTAATCAACACAATGCACATTTAAGTACTTAAAGCATAACGATTTAGTTCATTTGTTAATATTCTATTGTTCCGATCGTAGATCTACCAAAGGCATAGGGCAACATGCAAAGCCTATAAACGCCCTCACCTTGGTCTATTTCTGGAATGGTGGTTGACTTCATGTTAAATGTTTCGTTGTGAGAACTGAAACTATATGCGTCAGAAGGAAGCAGTTAAAATTACTGATTAGGACAACGCATTACACTTTTGAGCATTTTTTTTTCTAGGAAAACGTCACTTTCTACGTGTTCATAATACATGTATTACCCTTTATATACAATGGGAGTTTGGCACAAGTTTTACAACTTATATTAAGCCCTTTCCCTACAATATATTACTACAAATTATCAAGATGGCATATAAGATATATATTTACATTAGCTACTGTAACTTTTGAATATAAAATAAATATATGAGCAACGCCTTGAAGAGAGACCATGTACTTAAGCTAATCAATCCAGCAAAACATAATATATATCCTGTTGTTATATCAAATGCGACGAACTTATATAGGCTTACAGTCCACTGTGTTTCTAATATAACGGACGAACTCTACGACCAGAACTGCGTCGTATTAAACAAAGCCCGGCGGTATGATTAACTGTTTTGGTAACACACAGAAAGTGCCAGTTTTTATTCAATGGCAATAAGTATTATACTGTTAATATAGCATACACCCTTAAGATAGTTTTAATTGCCGTCGCAGTAGACAGCTATGATGGTTGTGGTCATTACGCTTGGTTTTGACAATACCGTCTGTGTGTGAGTGTGTGCGTGTGTTTGTGTCGGACATTCAGTAGTTATGACCTTGGGACGATATTTTGTTATTTGTCACACTAAAATTTGTTTCCGTTTGCTATATTTAGTGTGTATAATCTGTCACCGTTGAATGTTAAGACGGTTGACAATGACTTTGCCTGTTTACAATAGCAATGTTGGCTATAGCCTCAACGATTCTTTCCTTATGTAGACCTTCATTGAATAAGTGTTGTAATTAAATTAAATGGACATCGTACTTCACGTTTTTGCAGTAATGTCCTACTGTAACACCCATATTGTGGCATGTTTAAATGGAAATATGATCACGGTTGCAAGATAGAAAGAATATCCTTTTAGCTCAAGGGGTAGAATGTTCGACCCTATAGCTGGTTGCGCAAAAAAAGCACGTTATACACTCGCCCCTGTTACAAAACGGTGTCCTGATCCTATGATTGGTGTCTGATTTTAGGGGGCGAACACATTTTAAGGAGTTATGAAGCAGGTTTTAATTGTATCAAGTTTGCATTAAAGCGAAGAATTTCCGAGATATCGCAGGTCTCCGTCTTCGAAATAGCAGTGGCAGAGAGTGTAAGTGAGCGTGATCGCTGTTTTTTCAAGAAGGAGGGTCTCTGATTCGAACTGTGGTCTGGTCTGGATATCTCTCCTATTACGGTATCCAGTGCTAATATATATTATTAAGATAATTTACAATGATAATATGGTCTGCTTTAATCATATTCGTGATCCTCTTTAGATACAACGAAAGACCAATCAATATGTAGGTGCTGTCCTCTTCATAAAACCTAAAGATGTTTTCAATTTTAAGGGCTTTTATCACTGTTTCTTTGTTGTTATGCATTACAAATGATTAAATAAAACACTAATTTTAAATCAGGTAAGCTCATTTCGTTTTAGTACGCTTAAATACCATGGTCATGTGATTTCTTTGTGCTCTATAGAATTGGTCTATTTGGTGCTTGTGACCAGGATATGCTTTGGTTGTTTTGAGCCGGCTTCTGTTTGTCACCACTTTCTCTAATTAAAACCTCAATTATCTTTACTTTAAAAAATTGCTAATAATTTAACACGACTAAAGGCCACCACGTCCACATTCTAAAGTACTTCAAGCTATTTTTGTGTCGATGATTACGTCGTGAGCAAAGACGAGAGTCGAAAGGGCACAGAGATATAGGAGAAAGGATCTAGGCAAGGCATCTTCTGGATCATGAAAAGGGTCACCGTTGCCATGATGGGGCTCACGTGTTCGCAAGGAGATTGATGGAGCACAGTGATGTGAGTAGGGGAGACTGAAGAAGATTGGGATGGGGAGGGTTCATATCTTTGTTTGCAGACATCAGTTTCCTGCTAAATCCACGACCACTTTTCTTACACTTTCCATGCCTTCCTGNATCTATTTAAAACCCTTCGGATCATAGGTACTGTGTTCTGTTTAAGTCCGTGATAGTACCTTATAAAGTATATAGTTAACGACACGTAAATCGCCTTAGGCTTCCGAGTTACTAGTCAAGCGCGCGAGATGTATGTGCACTTCGGTCAAGCGAAACTACCGAGTGAGTCAAGACAGAAAAATATAGTTGCATGTTTTGACAATAAACGCATATGAGAGTGTTTGTGTGTCTATAATCCTCGTATATATATACATGTACCTCTGTACGCCATGATGGATGGTCTTCTAACGTCGCCGCGGGGCAATGTGACGTCACGACAAGCACAGGTAGGCAGGCTAACAGACATTCGGTATTTTGACAGACTTAAAGACAAGAGCTCGCTCCGGTCCTACACAATAAGCGTGGACAGGACTACCAGGGATATTTTTACATTTATATATGGGATTTTAGAAAGATATGGTGCGCGTTCTTATCGCCCTTTTGTTTGTGGTGCTGGGATCTAGGGCCCATGGGCCTGACCACACCCACTCGCATCACCATCATCACGACAGGTAAGGCGTTAATTTTATCCGCCTTAATAATTTCTATTTATATACATTCTTGATATTTTGCATTAAGCTGTTGACCATATGTGAGACTTTACGAGAGATGCCATGCAGTTTTCAACGTAGAAATTTTGGTTGATTTTCTTTCATATAAACATATAATAATGTTGTTTTTGTCATTCTAATATCTTTTATATCCTCTTGATGATATTTGATTGAGGGAACACGTGATACGCATGACTGAGCATATGACAAAGACGGTAAAATGCATAATCTTCAACCAACTCAAGCGATACGTGTGACATCATCACCGAAAAAAGGACGACATCTTCTTGTGACAGCAAACAAGGCACGCTATTTGTACGAGTTGACTTTTTATAATAAAATATGAACACGAAAAAATGGAGAATATTAATAACAAAAATAATAACAACGGGCATAGTAGAGAAATAAACATTTCTTTGTCCGATTCATTAAACTGTTGAGAAGATGACAACTGACAAGCTGAAATATATATAATTTACCACAAGGGCAGGATTCGTAACATTTGGAAGGGGTCTGTAAGTGAAGGTGGCGTCAGGCATATATATGCCATGTAAGCAAATATGCAATAGCATGTGCGTATACAAATCCTCAAATGCACTTGTTTGAATTCAATGGCTTTGCAACACCTTCTCGTAAAAGGCATGCTCAGCGATTTCATAATTCTAGTGACGCTATACAACAATTCACTGTATTTTAGAATGGTACTTTTAAGCAATACTAGTATAAGAAAGTTATTTAAAAACATTCACACTCAGCGTAGGCCTCAAAAAAACACCAGAGAGTTTTAACATAACAAATCCCCTCCTTAAACAAAACTCTGCTGCTACCCCTAGACTTGCATAAGGTCCCCCTCTCGTTTATCCCCTCTGCACCTACGTCTCTCTACTGAAGGTACATCTACCGTCCTACCCCACTTTCTATCGTAGATGTGCTGTTCATCCTTAAACAAACAAATTGACTCAATAAAAGTCCCTATAATACATTTTGCAGTTGGCGTGAACACATAATAGAATAGTCTCGTTGGCGGATCCAGGATTTTTTAAAAGAGTGGTTCCGTCCTCTTTCATGCTTGAATGTATATCCTAATAGATCTCGAACCATTTTGTTTTCTCTAGCTAAACAATATAAACCCCCATCCCCATCTAAACCCGTCGAATCGTGTGATAAATATATCTGATAATATGTGACCGTAAGAACATAATCGTGACTAATTTTATTGTTGACGAGGCATGGCGACTTTTGTGCTGCACAAGTACCATGTACGGTCAAAATGACCAACAGACATTCAAATTCACGCGAAGTGTATTATTACTGTACTCATTTGCTCCTTTTAATTTCCCTGTTAAACATTCTTTTCAAGTTAAAAACAACAGCTGTCGATTTTTCAAAATGAGATCCCAGGAAAATGATCTGGTTTTCATTAGAAAAATGTAGTCTTTGTAACTGTGGTAGGTTTTTCATAAAATGAATTTATGAAGTGTCCATGGCTGCCTGATATTTCGCGAAATTGGAACGGAAAGGGTTAGGGTTGGGAAAGGTCGGGATCGGAAATAACGGACTGAATAATGGCTATTTCCCAGTGCTGGAGTAAATCCAGTGAAGGTTTGATAGGCAGAATACCGATTGGGAAACATGAGTGCACGGACTCTCGGATACCTGAACTCATCTTTATTAATTATCACATACAAAAGCATTTTATGACTTTTTTTAGTTCGGGATTTCATGTTCTAAATCGAACGTACGATAATTCATAAAAAGTGGTTCGACGACAATGCTGTTAAATTACTTTCAACATTTCACCTGTTTTTCATATGTTTTCATTAACCAGCCATTGGTCGTATGAATATTCGATACTTGGATTATAAACCCTTTGTCATTAAAGCACACAATGGACAGCTTTCTTATATACTAAGTCAAACTCGAATTCCCCACGTTAACGGCCTGGTGACAGTACAGAGGGCTGATTATCCCAGCATAATGTCGTGATTGACTGATGTATATGTAATTATGAATTAACATATCCATAAATCATAAAGCTTCTTTATCAACTATTATATGCATGACTGCATCTGGTAGAACATTTACATAACCACTAAGTATTTCCCGTCACCCAATTCTCCCGCCCCCTGTTACTGTCTAACTCGGTATCTTTACGCTTAGTGTCCTGATTCTCTTTGGATCCCTACCCCCACAAACCCGACCCACAGTGCGTCACCCTCTAAAATTATCTTCCCATCCATTGTTTTTTTATATATCCTACCACAGCACTTCACCATCCTTGTACCGCTACCCCTTTTCTCCTCTCCCCAGTCTTAGTACTCATTCTCCTTCCCCCTCCAAACCCCATAGGAATCACCGCATCTGGTATCCCACCCCTTAGAAACCCTGTCTTTATAGCCCCCTCCCCCTAAGTACAACTATACCCTACAGGATCTCTACCCGAAGTACTGAACACTCCCTCCCCTAATGTAGAATCAGGTGTTTTCTTCAGTGTATTCTACATGGAGGACTTTGAAGAGGCCAAAATTGCAACATTTTGGATCTGTTTTCTCTCTCTTTCTTTTCCCTAGACACCCGTCTAACTCTTCATAGGACTCTGTCTGTTACAAGGACGTTACGACCCACACAAACAAACAGCTTTGATTCCTTATGTAATCTTTCTTCTCTGCCTTTATTTTGAAAGAAAATATAATAGAAAAATACTAGCTTGATATATCAAGCGGTTTATTTTCACAAAAACTCAGGTGTCAATGCCCAAGATTCTCCTGATCATATGTGCCGAAGTCCTACTCCACACGTCATGATGGACATGCGCAGGTACTGGGACTTATAAAGCCCTGTGAATACTAGACACATAATATACAATCATACGTTTATCTGTGTCCTGAAAAGTATCCGTATTTCAAACCTCACCGTGACGTCAGGTGTTATTGAACGGATATGGTGCACTCCTTATTGGTTCGGCTTCACTTTTCCTTATGACTTTTAACCCCACAGTAACATTAAGTATTGTTTTGTGATCATAATAACAAAGACAAATGGCCGTTATTTATGCATGTGATTGTTTTCTATGGCGCTATTATCAACCTGGATGGACCCTGGGGCTGAATACTTGCCTACGGTCGGGTTTTATGGCAAATAAAGTGACATGGTCATATCTCTCTCAAGTGATTTAACGTAACAAAATCTTGACGACTGTGTTTGGGATACCGTTGTGACAACGATTGACAAAACTGTATAAAACTGGAGTGATGATGATCATTTTTTCAAGATTTCCGCGCCCCCAAAACACAAATAAGCTCCTGAAGAAAACCAACCTATTGCACTGTGTCGACCAATTATATCCTGACTATGGGTCCGTGATTTTCAGGCCTTTCCGACATGCTTTGGAAAAATAAAACATTTTATCAGATCCGGCGCTTTCCGTAATGTTTCACGAGAAATGACGGGAAAACCCGATAACGGGATAGTGGTAAAGTCAGGATAAAAATACGGATATATAAACAATCAAAACGGTATCAGTATTGTCTTACCCGTTGGCGTGACACTCTCGTTTGTAATTGACATCGCGTGACCTATTAGTGGAATGATTACGGTACGTCACGAAGACAGGATGGCAATAGTACCTATATAATTTACCTATATATTCATTTGTGTTTTTTCATAATTATTGTTTTGGCCGATTGTGCATATCAGGTATACATAAGCTCGTTTTTCCGGTATTCTTTGTCCTATGACACAACAGCTTTCTGACATATCACGACTACAGACTTTACCCTAATTGCTATCAACTATGTACATAATATTTCTGTATTTACTAAATATGGTAAGTACATATACGGTCGTAACAAAAATCACGACATCTATGTACGTATATCCCCATTAGTTAAAACATGAAATCGCACTCACTAGGATGTCCTGTAGTACAATATATACATATAGAGGTAAGCGAGGAGTCTCATTAATGCTGTGAGTGACAGACATAACTGGACACTGGTCAGTTGTCAACAACGTTGTGATTGACGAGGCATGTCTTCTTGTTCCGGTCATGGGCCGGAGTGACGTTTAAAGACGACGACGAGCGCCTGTTGTTGTGACGGAGAGACAGGTCACGTGACTTAATAGGCCACCGAACGTCTTTGATAAGGGCTTTATATATTTCCTCCTCAAATGACAGTTGGAACAATTAAATATGCATGAATTTATGTTTAGAAATCGTCTTGAAGCAATGGAAGAATTAGAAAATAGAATGAAATAGAATAGAACAAAATCTAGCTCTAGCACATTTAAGAATATCTAAGATAATTTTTAGGGTAAGGAGTGTCGTGATGCGGTGACAGGTACATTTGTTGTTTCAAATTCGGAACATGTACACTCAGTATTTATCTTCCACCACCAAGAATAGGTTATGAAATCCAGTCACCCAGATGTGTAAATATGCACCAATAAAATCAATAATCTATGAAGGCTGGCGTCATTCCCTCGTTCCAGTGGGATACACCAGTATAGGATACACACATGCTCCGTGAATATGGATGTTGTTTTGGGGGAAAAGTAAACTCTAAAAATGTTGATCACTTGGATGAGTTTTCAAACTTTTGTTTATGGAAATTAATTTAAAAAAAGAAATGATTCCTTTGAGGAAATGCAACGCTCAGAGGGACTACGCGCTTTCAAAGGGTTGCGTACAATTTCAAAGTATGAAGTTTTATTATTTGTACTAGTATATGATATTAAGTATCACGAGACAATAACTAAGGGCATTAGCGTGGATCATATAAAATGTCTCAGACAATGATTTTCAGTTTTTTGTTATTAATATATATGTTCAAGGTTTTCGTTGTATTATTATACAGAAACAAGTTAGTGTAGAATACATACAGATTTCTCACTGATCGTATAATGAGTTCATCATGAGTGATGGTGTGACGTTGATGGACTATTCTCCAGGTTTCCTGTGACAGGTATACGTCAAACACAATACGGAGAAAATTAAGATTGCCCTCGAGGTTTGTTAGATAAAGAAGACCCAATCGCTTATTATATACCAATTTTCATTAATTGCAGTCATAAATATTAACTGTAAGCACAGTGCCTGGCACACTTAACAAATCCAACTTTTTTATTTGTTTATTTTTGATGTTTTATTTATGATACATGCATTACATGTCTAAAACATTACAAAATCAATTTATTGTTTTGATTATTTCAGCTTAAATAATCCTAAAATCGAAAATATGTTTGAATTCAAAATGTTCTTCTTATAACTATTTGAAATCTTTACAAAACAAATTTCATTATCTTAATATTTAAACATTTTTTAGCTATTTCTAATTTAAATTTAAAATCTACAAACTTAAAGTGGATTCGAATTCAGCTTTTCATCAAAAGTTGAAACACGCTTTCATATTATGCTAAGGAAATATGTGTAAAGATATTAAGATATTGATATGTAGATATAGCAATAACTACATGTTAGCTCTACGAAAGGTCAAGAGGTCAGACTACTTTACTCAACCCTAATTTATCTATGACGTAAAAACGTACACTATCATTTAATATTAGCTATTTAAAGTTGGGCATGTCGGTATCATCTAGATTCAATAACCCTACAACTGCGGGACTGCATATTCCAAATACATGTATGCGAGTTTCTTTTTCAATTTGTGCGTGACTTAAGCTTGCTGTCTAACAACTTAGCGCCATACCTCTGGACCATGAAGGTAATAAAGAACTTGAACTTGACCTCTCTCTGCAGAGAGATGTATGGTGATATAGTCTAGTGGACAGCGCGCCGGACTATTTTACGGGTGTAGTCGATTTGTAGTTCGAATACTATAGTGCTTCTTCCAAAATAGTTCAATCCTCTTCAGTAAAACCGTTGTCCGAACCTCCGGCCGGTTGAATTGTTGAGTCAAGGTCAGTTATGGACGAAGTAGCGAGCTACTGTATAGAGTCACGCAGCTTCGCATGCTGATTCATCTTTATGCGTAGAACATGCTGTATGACATTTTGTGACCTTGACCATTGGCCTTGACCTCTATGACCTTGTTTATTATTTTGCGTTTAGGTCAGTCCTGAAGTTATAGGGTCAAGTAACTTCACACGTTTGTCTGTTTGTGCTTTACGTCCTATTAACAGCTACGGTCATTTAATGACGTGCCAGATTTTGGTACAGCACGTTTCAGGACTTTTTGTAACCTTGACCTTTGACCTTGGCTTCTGTGACCTTGCTATAACTCTTAAGTGTGGGAGCGGGGCATCATTTCTTAAACAGAAACATTTCTAGTTATTGTTTTAATCAGATAATATTTTATTTTATTTTGTAAGCTACAATACATAAATAAGGGACGTCTCTTGTTCTTTTTCAGTCATACAACTTCTGTGAAAAGGGATGGAGCAAATAAAGTCCGTTCCGGGATGACTCTGTCGTACGGGTATGTTATCACTTAAAATTAACAATTGAAGTTCTATATGAATCTATTTGACAACCATATCGATTTGTAAGTTTATATCCTAAACTTTAAATCTGAAGAAGAAACAAGTCAGAAATCTGAAAATATATTGAAAACTTCAACAGTTTTAATTAATTCAGAGTTGCGTTATTTCTTATAGCAACGGAAACTCATTGAAATGTATATAAGTAATCGTATAAACACGATATTGACTACGTATTCCTTGTGTCAGACAGGTATATACATTGCTAATAGCTTAAACTCCTAATCACCATCGTCGTATGACCTTATCTGTTGTGAAGAAGCCTACCAAAAACACAAACAACAAACAAATAAACACTCGATCAATTAAATACATCGTTCATGGTTACGACCAATTTTTACTCTCCACGAGACATAGGGGTTCCGGTCTGGTGATAGGTCACGTGAGACGGGAGAGCAATGAGGCCCGAAATGAACCCCGTAAACTTCGCGGGTTCAAACAAGTTTAATATGAATTATGATGCAATTATTTCGACGTTCATTGTTCCACTGATTGATGGGAAGGTCAACCTCGACCACTATGTTCGTAAACCTGTACATTCCCAACAAGGACAATGTCTTGCTTGTCTAAACAAAATGGTGAAGATATATATCTTATGATTTTACTATGACATTTTAATCCCCTTTTAAAAGAGTTTTATAATAGTACCAACATGTATTTTGAATTTATAAGTTATGTTATATTTGAAAGCTAATTTACACCGATTGTCCGAGTCTACATAGGGAAGCACTCATTCGAAAGACTGGAGTCCTTCTAGCTGGTGTATATTAATTACGGACATTTATAATCGAATTCCGGAAAATAACCATATCAGGAGTTAATTCGTTGCACTGTTGACTGACACCCGATAGTCGACTGTAGAACTGTCTATTCTGATATAGAATACTTTCTTTGCTGCGAAAGGTTCAGACTTGGTCAAACTACTGACATTGTTTTAAACATAAAAAGGTAGTCTTTCTTTCGTTCGTTCTTTCTTTCTATATAATCCAAATGCACAAAAAAAGTAATATAATTTTCTTTTGACGATTGAAATAAGGCATTGTATTATCTAGGTTACGTTGCCCCCCAGGACGGATAATAAACATATCCCCCCCGCCCCCGTTTTCTTACCGTCGATATCCTCGTTACATATTCAATATATACTATACCATGTATACAATATCATGATACACGCACATGTGCTGCTTATTAAAATAAAGAGGGATAAGTATTACAAAAAAACTACGATAGAATGTGTAAATTATAAAGTAACAAAAGAAATTTAAGCGTTTGTTTTGAAATAATTAAGTTTTCTCTAATTTAATGTCGGCTCTTATGTCACCGAAACGTGCATAATTTAGTTTCAAACATAACTTACTGCCAACAGGAAACAGATCGTACATAATTTTGTCAGACACCTGAAAGCATTTTCCATCACGAACAATGATAAACATACATCATAAGTTGTTTTATCTACCATTATTACGCGTTATATTTTAATTAAATGAGGTTTTCCTGCTTACGAGAAGTATTTAAACATAGATATCATATATCTTTTGTTGTTATGAATTGTAAATGGCTAAATGAAACACTTTCATTGCCGGCTTCAAGTTATGCTTCTGAATATGGCTTGTGAGACAAGTAATGTGTTGTTGTCTAGACTGGGGTTTGCCTATGAGAGGGGGAATACAGGGGCGGATCCAGGATTTCCTAAAAGGGGGGGGGGGGCCGAGAAATTTTTCTCAAAAGTCAACGGTGTGCTGCCGAGCGCGTAGCGCGAGTAGGGGGAGGGTACGGGAGGGTGTCTTCCCCATCCTGTAAGGGGGGTGTGGGGGATCTCCCCCCAAAAAACTGCGGAAGGAATGAAGAAACCTATTGTAGTTATGGGAAGAGCGAGGAAATCTGTAGAAACTGGGGAAGGAATGAAGAAACCCTTTATAGTTATGGGAAGTGCGAGGAAATCTGTAGAAACTGCGGAAGGAATGAGGAAACCTATTGTAGTTATGGGAAGAGCGAGGGAATCTCAAGAAACTGCGGAAGGAATGAAGAAACCCTTTATAGTTATGGGAAGTGCGAGGAAATCTGTAGAAACTGCGGAAGGAATGAGGAAACCTATTGTAGTTATGGGAAGAGCGAGGAAATCTGTAGAAACTGTGGAAGGAATGAAGAAACCCTTTATAGTTATGGGAAGAGCGAGGGAATCTGTAGAAACTGCGGAAGGACTGACAAAACCTATTGTAATTATGGGAAGAGTGAGGGAATCTGTAGAAACTGAGGGAGGAATGAGGAACTCAATTGTAGTTATGGGAAGAGCGAGGAAATCTGTAGAAACTGCGGAAGGAATGAAGAAACCTATTGTAGTTATGGGAGGAGCGCGGGAATCTCAAGAAACTGCGGAAGGAATGAAGAAACCCTTTGTAGGTATGGGAAGAGCGAGGGAATCTGTAGAAACTGAGGGAAGAATGAGGAAACCTATTGTAGTTATGAGAAGAGCGAGGGAATCTGTAGAAACTGCGAAAGGAATGACAAAACCTATTGTAATTATGGGAAGAGCGAGGGAATCTGTGGAAACTGAGGGAGGAATGAGGAATTCAATTGTAGTTATGGGAAGAGCGAGGAAATCTGTAGAAACTGCGGAAGGAATGAAGAAACCCTTTGTAGTTATGGGAAGGGCGAGAGAATCTGTAGAAACTCCGGAAGGATTGAAGAAACCCTGTATAGTTAAGGGAAGAGCGAGGAAATCTGTAGAAACTGCGATAGGAATGAGGAAACCTATTGTAGTTATGGGAAGAGCGAGGGAATCTGTAGAAACTGAGGGAAGAATGAGGAAACCTATTGTAGTTATTGGAAACTGCGATAGGAATGAGGAAACCTATTGTAGTTATGAGAAGAGCGAGGGAATCTGAAGAAACTGCGGAAGGAATGAAGAATCCCTTTGTAGTTATGGGCAGGGCGAGACAATCTGTAGAAACTCCGGAAGGATTGAAGAAACGCTGTATAGTTAAGGGAAGAGCGAGCAAATCTGTAGAAACTGCGGAAGGAATGAGAAACCCTTTGTAGTTATGGGAAGAGGGAAGAAATCTGTAGAAACTGCGATAGGAATGAGGAAACCTATTGTAGTTATTGGAAGTGCGAGGGAATCTGTAGAAACTGCGGAAGGAATGAGGAAATCCATTTTGAGTTTTTTAGGAGTGACGATCTGTTGACTTTGTGTAGTGCTATTACTCAGAATAATAAAAAAAAATGAAACAATATTATGAATATTTTAATTAAATTTCCTTTAAAGAATCTGACCTTGATACGCTATAAAAAAAAAATGACCACAGTTTGTTTCTTTCTCATGCACCAGTGAACATGTAGGACTTATTATGTAACTAATTATAACGTTATAAATCAAATAAGGATAATCTTTGATGCAAATTGCTAATATTACTTTGAGGTTTTTTTTGCCCGTAATCCTATGAACCTCTGAGGTCTTGCAGGGAAGTCATGTATTTGCATCATACTGTATATAAATAGAACATGAGTTACCGTGAACGCTATGACTCCGTCTAAAGCATATTTTGTGGCCATTAAAAAGAAGCCGTGTGATTAGCCAAAGTTCGAACACACGTAAAAACTATTTCCCTATTTATAAATCATTGATACTAATGTCAAAACGGCATGCATTCGGTGTATTAACTTATATTTATATATGCGTTGATTTGCGAACTATATGAACTAATAGCATCAAGTCCTGCAAAAGGTCAAATGAACATGTCACTTTATCAAATAAGTAAAGGTTTAAATATAAGCAGCATTAAAGGTAAAAATAAATAAATAATCAAACAAACATTTTTTTTAAAATAAATTAGCACGTGGTTTGGTGATGACGCTGGTTTATTCTTGTCAATATGACGCTTGGTATTCCGCTTCAAATAATATATCGAATAGCACTGGATCAATCGCTCAAATGACTACGATTGTAGGATTGCTATTCCATCAATAACGTTTTATCGTTGAATTGACGAATCGCAAACACAACACACGAAATGCTCCAGCCGTTGGAATTGTTAAAATTATATTTAGGCCTTCACATTATATAAACTAATACCGATACGTTCGATCCGCGCTGACAGCAACTAGCATCTATCAGTTTACTTTGTTTCAGTCAACCAAGCGGTATAATTGGATACCGGCATATTAGGAAGTACATAAACGAGAGTCCGGAGTCCATTTCGGAGTGCCACAACAACGCTGTAATTGTTACCAAAACTTAAACATGTAAAAGTAAAAACTAATGAAAAGGATGGCAACTATTTTAAATAAATTTGTAGCAGGTTGTACAAATCTCACCGTTGGCGAGGTTTTATGTTAATATATACATGTAGGCTAATTATTCACTACAGACATATTAACGACTCGTTTTAGGTGGCAGACGGAGTACTAAAGATCATTTTTTTAATTTAGTTTTACTTGAGAATCTGTGAACTTTTGTCGTATACATATAAAAGATGTATCAATCTGCCCCTTAAAAGTTTTGGCAAGGTAAAAGTTTTAATAGTTCTAGAATCCTGCTCTTTCTCTCAACAGCCGGTAAATGTCACCGGTTTATTCACAGTTTTCCCCGAGATTTGATCTCATTTGTATTCCGGAAGCGCACGCATTAATTTGACAACATGTCACGTGATGTATGGGAACAATTATCCTCATGAACACGAATGACTGATTCATTAGGCTGCACTAATCACAGGGCGTGAGTTCCTGGTTTTCCGGTCTACTAAATCCGGAAAAGCTACATCCCAGATTCTGCAATAATGGTAACCAAGACACGAAAAAGTGGTTTCCGCCAAGACGGAATGTTGCATTCTATAACTGTACAGCAGTCATTTCCGGTCCAGAATGGTGGGTAATCTTTTATCTTCGTAACAGCTTAGTTGATGACGTCACTAAAGAGCCATTTTTTAAAGTGTCATCTCAC